AAATGTTAGAACAGCATCTCCTTGAGGGTAAGTAAAGTCAAACTAGTGATTGCCAGGGATACACAAGAAGAGCTGGCTCGCACAGCTGGAAAGTCACCATCTTCCCCATTCTCTCGCTCTTTCTTTCTTTTTTTTTTTTTTGAAAGGGAGTCTCTGTCACTCAGGCTGGAGTGCAATGGTGCAATCACAGGTCACTACAGCCTTGAACTCCTCGGGTCAAGCAATTCTACTCTCTTAGCCTTACACAGCTAGAACTCTAGGCACACACCACCAAGCCCAGCTCATTTTTAAATATTTTGCAGAGACAAGGTCTCACTGTATTGTCCAAGCTGATCTCAAACTCCTGGCTGAGTTTGATCCTCCCACCTCAGCCTTCCAAAGTGCTGGGATTACAGGCACGAGCCACACTGCACTGGCCTTGATTGACTATTAAACATAAATAACGGAAGCTAGAATACAATGAAATTACACCTTCAAAGCACTGAAATAAGATAACTGCCCAGCCAGTTCTCTTGTAAAGTTTCCAAAAACTTCAAGTAGAAGGCTCAGCTCGGTGCAACTGCATCTTTAACTTCCAAACACTTTTCCTCTTTTTTCTTTCTTTCCTTTCTTTTCTTTCTTTCTTTTTTTTTTTTTTTTTTGGGACAGAGTCTCGCTCTGTTGCCCAGGCTGGAGTGCAGTGGCATGAACTCAGCTTACTGCAACCTCCACCTCCTGGGTTCAAGTGATTCTCCTGCCTCAGCCTCCCAAGTAGTTGGGATTACAGGCATGTGCCACCATGCCTGGCTAACTTTTATATTTTTAGAAGAGACAAGGTTTCACCATATTGGCCAGGCTGGTCTCGAACTCCTGACCTCAAGTGATCCTCCTGCCTCGGCCTCCCAAAGTGTTGGGATTACAGGCCTAAGCCACTGCGCCCAGTCCCCTTTTTACTTTTTCACTGCAGCCTTGACCTCCCAGGCTCAAGGAATCCTTCCACGTCTGCCTCCCAAAGCTCTGGGATTATAGGCACACTTTTTATCCATTACACAGGGCAAGACTAGTATTCCCTGCAGGGTAGTGATCTAAAATTACATTTTCAATAAAGTCTATTTAAGTGTATAATAGTGAGTCATTTTCAATTATGTGCAAACACCAGACCAGGTGGGTGTGGACATGGTGGAAGCGGGAGGATGGGCTTTGAGCATGATGGGACTTGGGGAAACAGGAATCTGGGAACTGAAACCATCTGTCGTCTTGACCAGAAAAGTCCCTTGCTGCTGCAGAAGGCATGGATTAACCACGTGTCTGAAACACGAGACCAGACAGTGGCCAAAACCCTCCTAGATTAGGACCAATTTCAGGTGGTAGAATGCTGGCATGACTCGGAGGTGTGGGGCTGAGTGGGCGAGTTCACATTTCCATGATGGGATATGAGGGGATGAGGCGGCTGCTCAGTGACAGGACCCCTGTCCCTCAGGGGACCCTTTCCCAAGGCCCCTGAAACTCCACGGGCCCTGCCCAAGGGCTTGGCTGAGGCCAGCATCACCATCTCCCCTTCTTCCCCTCTTCTCCCACCAGGCTTGCCTGTCCTGGACGCCAATGACCCAGAAGGTGAGTCACACTGGACTCTTTCACCTGTCCCACCCCCAAATTCTCCCCTGGGTGGGAGCGGGGCCTGGATCCTGGCTGTAATCCTGGATTCATGATGTTTTTTCTTTCCTTGCAGATAAAAACAGTCCTTTCTACTATGGTGAGAGCCTGTGTCCCCATTCCCTTCCCCCCAACCCCACATACTGCTTGGTGCCAAGGGTTCCCACACAGGATTGGGTGAGGGTCTGATGTGAGCGTCACAGGACAAAGATAGGAAGGGACTAAGATGGGGGCACTGAAGAGTCCACATGGTGGATTAAAGGAACTAGAGGCAGCAACCTGGCCTTTGGGAAGGTTCTATTCCAGCAAGATAGTTAGACACACGCAGGAGGTGAGGACAGTTTGCAAGAAGCCATTGTTTGGTTCACATCAACTGCTGGGAGAAGTGTTGACTTGAGAAGACGTCCTGGAGGTGGTGAGCTGTTCGGTCAAAACCCTCATCTGGCCTCCAGGTTCCGATGACCTGCTCCCTACTCCCCGCTCTGCCCTCACCTCCTCCACGCTCCTCACTCCTTCTGCTCCAAGCCTCTCAGACACCGCAGACATACTGCCAGCCTCAGACCTCTGTACTTGCTGGTTCCTCTGCCTGGAACACTTCCTTCCATAGAACGAAATGGCTCCCTCCCTTCCCTCTGCTCAAATGCAGCCCCCTAAGAGGCCTTTCCTGACAACTCCCTCGAAAAGAGCTGCCCTCTGACTTGTTTTTTAGAGACAGGTCTCACACCGTTGCCCACGCTGGAGTGCTATGGCGTAATCATAGCTCACTGCAGCCTCAAATTCCTGGGCTCAAGCGATCCTCCTGCCTCAGCCTCCTGAATAGCTGGGACTGCAGTCATGCACCACCATATCTGGCTAATTTTTGTATACTTTGTAGAGATGGGGTCTCACTATGTTGCTCAGGCTGGTCTAGAACTCCTAAACTCCTGAAGTCTCAAAGCTCTGTATATTAGGTTGGTTCAAAAGTAATTGTGGTTTTTGCAACCGCTTTTCATGGCAAAAGTGCATTTTTTTTTTTTTTTTTTTGAGGCAGAATTTTGCTCTTTCACCCAGAGTGTGACTGGCTGGAGTGCAATGGCGCAATCTTGGCAGTCTTGGCTCACTGCAACCTCCGCCTCCTGGGTTCAAATGATTCTCCTGCCTCAGCCTGCCGAGTAACTGAGATTACGGGCGCCTGCCACCACGCCTGGCTAATTTTTGTATTTTTAGTAGAGAATGGGTTTCACCATGTTGGCCAGGCTAGTCTGGAACTCCTGATCTCAGGTGATCTGCCCACCTCGGCCTCCCAGAGTTCTGGGATATCAGGCGTGAGCCACCGTGCCTAGCCAAAAACGCACTTTTGCACCAACCTAATAGGTGTCAGCCACTATGCCCAGCCTGCCCTCTGACTTTCCATCGCCCACCCTGCTTATTTTTCTTCAGACCACTTATCTCTGCCTGACCCTGCATGACAGATCTTGTTTGCTGGTGTGTGAACTAGAATGTGAGCACTTAGGATTTTGTCTGTTTTCTTACGGCGGTGTCCCTGGCACCCTGCGCATCCTAGATGCTCCATATGTATTTGTCAAGAGGATGGGGGGACAGATGGAGAGGACATAGCCTGGCACTGAGGTCCCCTCCACTTTCCTCCTAGACTGGCACAGCCTCCAGGTTGGCGGGCTCATCTGCGCTGGGGTTCTGTGCGCCATGGGCATCATCATTGTCATGAGTGAGTGAAGGAGCTGGGGGGAGCAGGCGGGCCGGGGCTGGGGCTTCCCTCCCCTGACCACTCAGCTCTCCCCAACAGGTGGAAAATGCAAATGTAAGTTCGGCCAGAAGCCCAGGTAAGATACTGTTCCGGCATGCCCGCCTCAGGCTGGCTGGATGCTTTTCAGGGTGAAAGGGCTAACTGTTCCAGCAGGAGAGGCCTCCAGGCTCTGCCCTGCAGAGTTCCTGCTGCTAAGATTTCCAGGTTCATGGTTTCTAGCTGGTAATCCCCAGAGGGCCCCAAATCCTGAAATGCTTTGGCCCCTGGGATTGCACAACCCCCCAAGTGGAAAAGCAGCCAGGAAGACATGTCTGGGCAGGCTAAGAACCCTCTACCCGGAGGGAGAGGGCAAATGGGGGTGGACACGGATCTCACTGCTTTTGTCTCCTCAGTCACCATCCAGGGGAGACTCCACCTCTCATCACCCCAGGTAAAGATGGGGCAGCATGGGGCTGAGGGGAACACGGAAGTGGTGTGTGTGCGCATGCGCGTGCACACTGGCAAGAAAACTCAATCCACCCTCACAAACGGACCCCGTCACCTCCCCCAGGCTCAGCCCATAACTGATGAAGACGGACCAGCTGAAATTGGGTGGAGGACTGTTCTCTGTCCCCAGGTCCTGTCTCTGCACAGAAACTTGAACTCCAGGATGGAATTCTCTCTCCTCTGCTGGGACTCCCTTGCACTGCAGGGCCTCATCTCACCTCTCACAGGAGGGTCTCTTTGTTCAATTTTTTTTTTTTTTAATCTAAAATGATTGTGCCTCTGCCCAAGCAGCCTGGAGACTTCCTATGTGTACACTGGGGTGGGGCTTGGGGCACCATGAGAAGGTCGGCGTGTCCTGGAGGCTGACACAGAGGCTGGCGCTGAGCCTGCTTGTTGGGAAAAGCCCACAGGCCTGTTCCCTTGTGGCTTGGGGCATGGCACAGGCCCGCCCTCTGCCTCCTCAGCCATGGGAACCTCATATGCAATTTGGGATTTACTAGTAGCCAAAGGAATGAGAGAGCTCTAACCAGATGGAACACTGGAACATTCCAGTGGACCCTGGACCATCCCAGGAAAACTGGAACATAGGAGCGTCCTACCATGATGGAAGTGTTCAGTTTATAACAGTGAGACTCCCGTGACCCTTTCATTCACCCCCGAGACCTCAATTTATTCCAAGATCTTTCCAAATACCCAAATGTCCCTGCAAGCCCGTTAAATAATTCCCTATGCTACCCTTAATGACATACGGTGACCACATAGTGTGAGAATTTCCAACAAGCCTCAAACTCCCTTGAGCCTCCCCAGTACTTATTAAGGCATCCAAAATGTTCCCGTGAACTACCCCACAAAATGCCTAAAACTAAAAACACCCAAAAATATCTCCCCCAGTGTCCTGAGACATGAACCCAAATAGAGACCCACAATAAACTCGTGACTTGTCCCCTCATCATGCCGTTTTATCCCTCAAACATCCCCTGAGTCCCTCGATAACCACCGACCCACACTCAGAGACCATGAGCTGCGGAAACGCCTCCCTGGGACCTGGGCCGCTCTTAGCACTGCTCCAGGGACACCATCCCCACCCTGTGCTGTTCACAGGACATCCTCTCCCAAGCATCCACAACACTGGGCGGGCAGGGTGCACAGCGCATTTATTGAGCTCGGACTCTTCTTGTCCTTGCCTCCATCGCCCATCCAGGAGGGCACCGGGCTCCCCGCGACACCTCCCGTCGTCCCTCCTTGTGCCCCGCGCACGCGCAAGAGGCGCAAGAGGCACAGCGCCCCTGGCGGCCGCACGCATGCGCACAAGCAGCAAAGGGGAACCCGCCCAGCGCTGAGTTGGCTTTGAGGTTGGTGCTTTTCCAGGAAAGCGATTGGCTGCATGGAGTTTAGAATGGGAAAGGAATGCCATCGACTCCTCAGTGCTTTCAGAGGGACCAGCGGGGGTGGGAGCGGGTTGAGAGGGGGCTTCCGGACCTCATGGAGCTCTGCAGGTGATCTCCACCTCGACTCCATGCAGTGCACCAGCCTGCACCCCCAGGTTGCCTTTGATGGGGAATCTGTCCCAGCCGAGATGTCCAGATGTTGCTTTAGACCTGAAGGGCAGCTCGGGAGGTCCAATAGGCTGTGACCCTCTATGTCACCCCATGGGTGCAGATCCTTTAAGAAGTGGGCTTAAGGCCTAGACGTATGGCTGATGAATGTGGCCCATGGTCAGCAGCTCACAGGTGGCCATCACCCCAAGTGGGGCCAGGAGCCAGACAAGGGGCCATCCCGGGGCCCCAGCCATGCCCAGAGTCCTGTTGGTGGTGTCAGGCACTGAGGTCAATCTCGTGATGCTGGTAGATCTGTGTGGGGCCCTTAAAGCAAGCAGCAAAGAGGAAGCGTCTGCCGGCCATAGTGATGTGGGCGAAGGCACGGGGGGCCACCAGGGCCGGGGGCCCCAGCTCCTGCAGCGGCTCCAGGAGCCCCTTGTCAGGCTCAAGACGGAGGACCTGACTGAAGGCAAAGTCGCTGCCCAGGATGGCCAGCTGGTCCCTGGCGATGAGCAGTGGCTGGAAGACGTGGGCACCGCGCGAGGGAAGTTGCTGCAGCAGACGAAACATGGAGCCGTCCCAGCGCATGACCTGTGGGGGTGTGGCCAGTGAGGGCCTGGGGTCCTGGGGGTCTCTGGGGGCCCTGGAAGAGCTTGGAAGCTGAAGCTTGTCGGTCCCGAAACTCCCATAGCTTTCATATCTTCCTAAAGGTCACCACCCAGCTGTTCGGCCACACACACGGAGTTGTTCTGAGCCCTTCTCTTGCCCTCACACCCCACACAGAAGCACTCAGCCATACACTCTGTCAGTTTCACCTACTGTAGTTGTACATTTCTCCCACCACCTCTGGCCGAACTCCATCCCCTCCCGAATGGACCATCGTGGTAACCTCTTCCCTGGTCTCTAGGCTCCTCTCCCTGCTCCCCCAGTCTCTTCCCCACCCAGAGACCTTGTGAACACCTAAGTCAGATCAGGGCCCTTCCAGGCTCAGAACCCTCCCCTGCCTGCACCTCACTCCAGAAACAGAGTGGGCAGGGCTTAACCCCGGCGTCAGCCTTGGGGGCCCAGTGTCAGGTGTGGCTGTGGTGAAGTGTGGAATGCATCCGAGTCACAGAGTCAGCATCTGGGGGTAGAATCAGGATGTTGGGGCCAGCGTCAGTGTTGGGGACTGGGGAGTGGTTTAGGGTCAGTCAGCCTTGAGGGGGTCAGAGTCTTGGCATCAATGTGGGGTGGGGTCCTGGTCAAAGGTCAGCATGTGAGGCTAGGTCAGAGTTTAGAGGCTTAGTATGCAAGATTGGGTCGGTGCTGAAAAGCCAGCCCTCAATAAGAGTCAGCTGTAGCATCAGGCCTGGCTGTGCATCCCCCGCCCCCAGGCCCAGCCTCACCATGGAGTCCCCAATGTAGCGTGTGAGGCACAGGAACACGTCCCCACCAGCCTGGAAGTGGCGTGTGGCATAGACATCCTCGGCCTCAGGGATGTCTGTGCGTCTCTCGAAGCGGCCACCGGTCCAGTGGAAGAGCACGGGCCGCTGGGAAGCCGAGGCCAGCAGCAGATGGGGCCGGCCGTCCAGTTCCAGGGCCTCAGCGTCCGTGTCCCTGTGCCAGGCGTGCAGACTCTGGTGCGGGTAAAAGCCGGGCCCGTCGCGGCACAGCAGCGTGGTGCTGCCTGCCTTGGAGGCGTCGGCCACCACGAAGCAGGGCTGCTCTTCCAGCCACAGGAGCTCGGCGTCATTGGGCCGCAGCAGCCGCCGCGGGGCCAGGGTCTGCGTTGGGGCCAGGCGCAGGCCGGGACTGGGCCGGGCCCACAGCTGTGAGCCCCCCCACAGGCGGGCAGCCAGCACGAAGAGGCTCGGACCCAGCACCAGTGGCTTGCAGGACACCACGGAGGGCGCTGTGGGGAGGTGGGGAGGCAGGTCAGGCCGGCCAGGCAGGATGCTGGACAGGCAGAAGGACGGGGAGGGGCTCACCGGGCAGCTCTTCCTTGGGCCGAAAGCGCTGCAGGCTGTAGTCCCAGGAGAGGATCAGGCAGCGGCCGGCGAAGGGCTGTGCCAGCACAATGTGAAGCTCGCCTTCGTAGGAGAAGGGCTCTACGCTCAGGGCCGACTCCCCCACCGTCTGAAACCAGGACAGCTCTGCGGATGGAGGACAGAGTCAGGCAGGCCCCAGGGCACCCAGGGTCCTCATTGCTGAGCCTCAGTTTGCCTACATCTCTGAAATGGGGGCCATTCATGTACTCCCCTCATAGGACATAGAACTGGAATCTTGATCTGTAGATGTTTGTTTGGTTTGTGGGGGCGGTGAGGATTTTGTTTTGTTTTGAGACAGAGTCCCACTGTGTCTCCCAGGCTGGAGTGCAGTGGCACAATCATAGCTCAGTGCAGCCTCCACCTTCCAGGCTCAAGTGATCCTCCCGCCTCAGCCTCTTGAGCTGCTGAGACTACAGGTGTGTGCTACCATGCCTGGCTAATTTTTTAATTTTTTGCAGAGATGGCGTCTTGCTATGTTGCCCAGGCTGGTCTGGAATTCCTGGGTTCAAGAGATCCTCCTGCCTTGACCTCCCAAAGTGATGGGATTACAGGCATGAGCCACATCCACCTCCTGGGTTCAAACAATTCTACTTCCTCAGCCTCCCAAATAGCTGGAATTACAGGCACCCGCTGCCATGCCCAGCTGATTTTTGTATTATTAGTAGAGACGGGGTTTCACCGTGTTGGCCAGGGTTGTCTCGAACTCCTGACCTCGTGATCCGCCCACCTCGGCCTCCCGACGTGCTGGGATTACAGGCGTAAGCCACTGTGCCCGGCCCATAAGCCTTATTTTCTAAGCTGTGTGGCATCACCAAATAATCCCTTAGAAAAAGCATCTCGATTAATTCATTTAACTTCACAACATCCTTATGAGGTACATTCTGTTATGATCTCCCCTTCGCAGATGAGAAAACGGAGGCTAAATGGCACAGGCAGCCAGTTATCCAACAAAACCCATCCCTCCCACCTTCCAGGAGAGAGGATTGGAATTGGTCACTAGGCCGCCCAGCTAGAGGCTGCATTATCCCGGGACCCCCATTCACCGCCCTCCCTGAAAGTTAGATGTGGCTGTTTTGAGACTGAGTGACCAATGGAACAAGGGCAGATGTGATGAGTGTAATGAGCCACCACACCTGGAAAGAGCTTGTCCCGACTTGGTCTCCTTTCCCACCACGTGGGTGTGCCACAACCTGGTTTCCAGCATGAAAGCAAGGACGATGCCCAGGGGCTGCCCCACGCACCTGGACAGCTCACTCCAGATCCCTCTGTCCTTAATTCATGGTATTTTGAGAGTTTGTGACAACGGGTTGGCTTTCATGGTCACTGGGACACCAAGGCTGCTCTGCTTGTTAGTGGGGGAGCTGGGCAGTTGACTCCAGGCTGTAATATTTCACTTTGTGTGCCAGGCCCTGTTTCCAGGTGCCAGCGTTGAAGCAATGAACCAAACTACATACAATGTCCACCTAAAGGGCGAATTTTTTTTTTTTTTTTTTTTTTTGAGATGAAGTCTCGCTCTGTTGCCCAGGCTGGAGTGCAGTGTTGCGATCTCGGCTCACTGCAACCTCCGCCTCCCAGGTTCAAGCAATTCTCCTGCCTCAACCTCCTGAGTAGCTGGGATTACAGGTGACTGCCACCACACCCGGCTAGTTTTTGTATTTTTAGTAGAGACGGGGTTTCACCATGTTGGTCAGGCTGGTCTCAAACCCCTGACCTCGTGATCCACCCACTTCGGCCTCCCAAAGTGCTGGGATTACAGGCATGAGCCACTGCAACTGGCCCAGACAAATCTTTTTTAAATGGCTGTCAAATCACCTCTTGCTCAAAACTCTCAGCCGAGAGTGGTGGCTCACGCCTGTAATCCCCACACTTTGGGAAGCCAAGGCAGATGGATCAGTAGAGCCCAGGAGTTCAAGAGCAGCCTGGACAACATGGTGAAAACCCCATCTCTGCAAAAAAAATACAAAAAATTAGCAGGGCATGGTGGTGGCGCACCTGTAGCCCCAGCTACCAAGGAAGCTGAGGCAGGAGGATTATCTGAGCCTGGGAAGGTTGAGGCCTCAGTGAGCCGTGATTGTACCACTGCACTCCATCCTGGGTGACAGAGTGAGACCCTGTTTCAAATAAACAAACACACACAAAAAAACTTTCCATTCTTCCCATAGCCCAGAATAAAGTCTACTCTCCTCTCTGTGGCTTCCAAAATCCATAGTTGTCCCTCCACTCACTACCCCGAGCCACACCTGCCTTCTTTCGATCTTCAAACAGGGCATGCTCTATGCTGCCTCAGGGCCACTGGCCAGGTTGTTCCCTCTCTCTGAAGAGCCCTTCCCTCTATTCCTCACTTAGCCACATCCAGACCTAACATCCCCACTTGAGAGAAGCCTTCTCTGACTCCCAAAGGAACCCTCATTCTGTCATCACTCCCTGTAGTTATCACAATGTATAGCACACATTTATTTGTGCAGTGTTTGTTAAATGTCTGTCTCCCCAAATTCCCAGGACTGTAAGTCCCATGAGGCCAGGGCTGAGGCCCCAACCACAGTGACCATCACCTCTCACAGGGCTGGACACTGAGTGGACTTCAGTAAATGTTTGTTGGATAATTTGAGTGAAGAAGGACTCCCTAAGTTAAATCCCCTTCTTCTATGTGTCCTACAGACCAAAAACATGCCTTTCGTACACTTAGAATCATAATAATTATACGTTGATAATAATCATACATGTATGTCATTGTGGGGGAAAGGAAGAGAGATCAGACTGTTACTGTGTCTGTGTAGAAAAAGGAGGACATAAGAAACTCCATTTTGATTTGTACTAAGAAAAATTCTTCTGCTTTGCGATGCTGTTAATCTGTAAACTTAGCCCCAACCCTGTGCTCACAGAAACATGTGCTGTATTGACTCAAGGTTTAATGAATTTAGGGCTATGCAAGATGTGCTTTGTTAAAAATGTGTTTGCAAGCAGTACGCTTGGTAGAAGTCATCACCGTTCTCCGTTCTCCATTACCCAGGGACACAATGCACTGCAGAAGGCCACAGGGACCTCTGCCCAAGAAAGCCTGGGTATTGTCCAAGGTTTCCCCGCACTGAGACAGCCTAAGATATGGCCTCGTGGGAAGGGAAAGACCTGACTGTCCCCCAGCCCGACACCTGTAAAGGGTCTGTGCTGAGGAGGATCAGTGAAAGAGGAAGTCCTCTTTGCATCTGAGATAAAAGGAAAGCATCTGTCTCCTGCTCGTCCCTGGGAATGGAATGTCCTGGTGTAAAACCCGATCGTACATTCTATTTACTGAGATAGGAGAAACCGCCTTATGGCTGGAGGTGAGACATGCTGGCGGCAATACTGCTCTGCTACTCTTTACTGCACTGAGATGTTTGTGTAAAGTTAAAAATAAATCTGGCCTACGTGCACATCCAAGCACAGCACCTTTCCTTAAACTTATTTATGACAGAGTCCTTTGCTCACATGTTTTCCTGCTGACCCTCTCTGCACCATTACCCTTAGTCCTGCCACATCCCCCTCACTGAGAGAGTAGAGATAGTGATCAATAAATACTGAGGAAACTCAGGGACCAGTGCCAGTGCAGGTCCTTACTTGGTGAGTGCCAGTCCCCTGGGCCCACTTTTCTTCCTCTATACTTCGTCTCTGTGTCTTATTTCTTTTCTCAGTCTCTGGTCTCCACCTTGCGAGAAATACCCACAGGTGTGGAGGGGCAGGCCCCCTTCATATTGTTATAGAGAATAATAATTATTGCTGTTGTTATTGTATTCATAGCATCTGTGGCTGGGTGCAGTGGCACATGCTTGTAATCCCAGCACTTTGGGAGGCTGAGGTGGGAAGATCACTTGAAGCCAGAAGTTCAAGACTAGCCTGAGCAACGTAGCATGACCCTATCTCTATAAAAAAGGTTTTTAAACAAAATTAGCCAGGCACAGTAGCATATGCCTGTAGTCCCAGCTATTTGGCAGGCTGAGGCAGGAGGATCACTTGAGCCCAGGAGTTTGAGGCTGCAGTGAGCTATGGTGGCACCATTGCACACCAGCCTGGGTGAGAGAATGAGACCCCAACTCTTAGAAAAGAAAAGCATCTGCGTAAAGACCCTTCAGGCTTAAACTCCTTCAGGAAGCCCTTCCTGTCCCCCTAGATCTGTGTGGCCCTGGCCCTGACTCTGGGCTCCCTCAGCTCCCACAGATTCCCCCATCCCTGCCGTGACCCCTCTGGCTAGGCCTCCCCATCCTGCCCAGATAGTTCCTGGGCTGTCCTGTATGGGCCTTCGTTCCTCTGGACATTGAACTCTTTGAGGGCGAGACCCAGGGCTGGCCTCACCATTCTGTGCTCTCTGCACCACCCAGTATCCCAAAAGGCAACAAAATCTATTTATAGAAAAGGCGAGTCAATGTAAATGAGGTGACATTGCACCTGCAGTTCTTAGCGCAATACTTGGCTCCTAACGAAGACTTTTTAAAGTGGTTGCTTTTATGTTAACAAGGGTGAATGTTTATAAGGACCTCCTGTCCCAGGCCTGGCGCCAAATGCCGAACATGTGAAGATGTATCACTGAATTCCCACGGCACTCCTATATCACTGTTTATTACCCCCACTTTACAGATGAGAAGACTGGGGCTCAGGAAGGCAGCGCTGCTTGCTCAGGGTCTTCCCACGCCGGGAAAAGGCACGGCAGGGAGTGAGGCAAGCCCCTTGGCCCTGGCAGCCATTCCCCTAGATCCCCCGCCTCCCACCCCATCAGGAAAGCCCCCCACCTATGGCTCTGCACTTGAAGGTCTCGGGGTCGAGGTGGCGGAGCTGCATATGGCTCAGGGCGGCGGGGCCCGCACAGGCGCCGGTCCCCACGCTGGCGTTCACGGTGGGCATCCACTGCAGGAGCCAGAGGACGCGGCAGTCACACTGGAACGGGTTCCCACGGAGGTCCCTGGGGCAAGAGGCCGGGGAGGGGCTGCGACCCCGCTTCCACACCCTGGGGGCCATGCTCCTGCCCGACCCCAGGCAAGTGTCCCCAGAGATGGGGCTCCATAGTGGTGAGAAAAATACATAAGAACAACTGCAGCCAAATGCAAGCACGCCAACCAGAAGTGGGCATGGATGCCCCTATGACACAAACATTCCCCAACCCCCACATTCCCAGCCCCCATGAGCCTCACACGTGAGTAAGGGTCTCCAGGCCTCGGAACAGGAATCTGGGGAGGGCCTCCAGGTGGTTATTGGCCAGGCTTCTGGTGGAGGAAGAGAAGGCACCGTCAGCAGCCACGAGGATACCCTGTGTCCCCTGGGGGGTGGAGTGTGGGTGCCTTTCATGGAGGGCTGGGGCAGTGGAGGCACGCACAGGTGTGTAAGCGAGCGAAGTCCTCTGAGGGCATTCTTAGAGATGGAGCCAATCTCATTGTCCTCGATGAAGCTGTGGAGGGAAGCTGGGGTCAGGGGGAGGCCCACTGAGCTTCAGGGAACGCACCCCATGAAAGCCATAGGCCCACTGGAAGGTGCTGAATTCTCTTCCAATACCATGGACAATCCCAAGGAAAGCCTCTCAAAAACCTCTCCTTGCCAAAGTCCCAGCCGTCAATTCTAGAAGCCACGAAACTGGCCCCATAGTCAATGCCAGTTTCACTGTGAACATTGCCCTGCCGCCACCAGCACAATCACCATCACCAGTGCTAACACCCAAATCACCACCAACACCTCCAGCATCATTAGGAATGATCAACACCAATGCCAGCATCCCCAACACCCATGTCTTTATCACCGTCATCAATCCCAGGACCAATAACTGCCATTATCCCCAACACCATACCCTGCCACCACCATCACCACCACCAGTGCTAGCACCCAGACCACCACATTACCTCCAGCATCATCCGTAATGACCAACCCAATGCCAGCATCCCCAACACCCATGTCTGTATTACCATTATCAAACCCAGGACCAGTAACTGCTGTTATCCCCAACATTATACCTTGCCACTACCATCACCAACACTAGCATCATTGTCACCAATAACAATGTCACCACCCACTCCCATCAACACCAACACCCATATAATCATTACCAAACTCCACACCAACAACACCGGTAATCATCACCAACAGTACAACCTTCATGATCAACACCAAAAAGATTGCCACCCTCATCTCCAATGCTGCACTATCACACACATCAGCATGAGCACCACCAACACTGCCAACACCAACACTGCCAACACCAACAACCTCTCCCTTATACCCAAGACGCACACATTCGCCCACCACCGGTACTACCGCTGCCAGCGTTTCCATAAATACCAACACCTTCACCATCATCACCAACCCAGTACCAACAACATTGCCATTCATACCAACCCCAACATCCTACCCACAGCCATCACCAACGTCAACACCAATACTGTAATGGTCCACCCCACAACATTGATAATGATCACAGACACAAGCCCCAAGAACTTCATCATCAATTTCATCCAGAGCATCATCACCACTGGGGCTACCATTTTTACCAACATCATCCCCACTCCATCATCATCAGTAATGCCACCAACCCCACGTCAACAGCAGCAACAGGGTCATCACCACTGCCATTATCATCAACACCATGACCAACATAAACGCCAGCACTGTCATGCTGTCACTGCCACCGCTGCCACCATCACCACCGCTACCCAATCCCACAGTATCACCACCACTACCTAATTCAGAGTTATTTCCTGGTCATTTGAAACGTCTCTTGTCTCTGACTTCTTTACACCCTCCCTGGGCTCCCATGAGTCAGGTAGAGCCAGAACCAGGCTCTGGTTAACTGGGCTCTTTGTAGATCTTGAAGCAGAGAAATGAGGTGATAATCAACACTGATAAGCAACATTAACACCAGCCCTGAGAACTTTTTCAGTATCACCCAAATCATCACCACCATTGGGTTCACCATTTTTATCAACATCATCCCACCATGATGTCCAAACACCTTCTCCTCAGGGCCACAGCTCCCATCTCCCCCTACCCTGGGAGCCACAGAAGGGTCCTTCCTTCTCCCAGGCCCACCTGCCTCCATCCCCTGGCCTCACTCACAGGTACTGCAGGTGGGACAGGCCCGCAAACGCATCATCCTCAATCACGGAGAAAGAGTTGGAGGTGAAGAGGCTGGCAAGGGGGCAAGAAAAAAATTTTCCCGGAGTTGCGGGCTCCATCTGACATTTTAACCCTGGCCTCCACCCTCAGCCCACACAGGCATGGGCACGCAGGTGTGAGTATGTGCGTGGACACAAATGCTTTTGCACGCACGTGTGCACACACCCCCACACACGTGCATGAACACCCACCTAACATCTGTGTGAGCATTTATTCCCACACATGTGCATGACCGCCCACTCCCTTTTGCTGGTTGTCGGCCCAGCCAGGCCCCACTCACAGCAGGTGCAGAGACGGAATTCTCAGGAAGCTGCCGGCTTTCAGCTGGGTGACTCCAGTCCTGACGAATGAGCTGGGGATGTGGGCAGTGGTAGGTGAGGGGGACACCACAGCAATGCTCCAGTCCCAAACCAGAGCCTTCTGCCATCCAGGAGACCCCAGCGTGCCACCCTGACCCTGGGTGTGTCTCCCCTGCATGCCAGAGGAGGCAGGCATTTGCCCTCCTGGCTTGACAAGGACCCTGACAGCACTCAACCCTCTTCCTGGGCCCCAGATGCTGTTCCTGCCCTCTGGGGTTTCCCTCTGCTCCCTCCCAGACGCCAGCACTCCTCTTCATGGCATCCCGACAGCCTTTGCTGCCCATCTCCTGAGATCCTGATGGGCCCCTGTTTCCCTGGGGACTCAGCACCACATCCTGACCTCTGGGGTCCCAGGACTTCCATCCCCACCTTTGGGTGTGCAGAGGGCTGGACACTCACAGTGACAGCAGGTTTGGAGAGAAGCTGACAGGCAGGTCCGGGGATCCCTCACACAGGGCGCTGTCTTTGGAGCAGGAACAGCGCAAGGGACACTTTCCCTTTGGGGGCCTCCAGGCCACCACCACCCCCGCCCCGGCCAGCAGCAGCAGCAGAATGCCTGCCCCTCCCATGCCCCCACCCCCGCGCTGAGGCACCCGCTTCTCCCGGCCCACCCAGCTCAGCCTGGGCCACTATGTCTCCTCCTCCACCAGGCCGCCCTCCATCCGCCTGCTGGCACGCTTGGCCCTGGCTTCTCTCTCCTCTTCTCCGTCTTTCCTTCAGTCGGCCTTCCTCCCTGTTCGTATCTCTTTGGTGTCTAATTTTCTGTTTCTCTTTCTCCCTGTCCTTCTGTCTCTGTATTTCTGACTCTGCGTGTTAGTCTGTTTCTATTTCTGTCTTTGTCTCTCTTTCTGTGCGTTTCTCTTTTTCTGTGTTGCTGTCAGTCTTTCAGGCTTTGGGTAGCTGTCTGTCTGTTGGCCTCTATGTGTGTGAGCGTATGTGAGTGTGTGCGTCCCGCTGCCTGGTGTCTTGATTTCTTGTCTCCTTCCCCCTCCTTCCAGCTCCCTGCCTGTAGTTTCTTTGCCTCCTCCCACGTCCCTTCTCCCTGAAGGTTTGGGAAAGGGGTTCACTGGACACCCGATGCACCCGGCAGAGTAGGGTGGGAAGGAGGAGGGGGTCAGAGGCCATGAGAAGGTCGGCCTTGGGGAAGGGACTGGGCAGCCCCACAGGAGGGGGAGGGGCCACCAAGGGCTGGAGCCGTCCCACCACTCACGCCAGCCCCCTCCCCAGATTCCCCACTCAACCCTATTGCGGGAGCAGGAGGACGATGTCACCAGGGTGGGGACCGGATGGCTCTGCAGACTGGAGCGGGGTGGGAGGAGAGGCCCCTGGGGGCTGGGGACATCCCTTCCTGGCCACTCTCCGCCAGCCCCCTCCCCTGGCTCCGGGAGGGTGCATTGGGCGCTGTCAGTGGGGCCAGTTCAGGTCCAGCTGCTCCCTCTGGTGGTCACACTCGGCAGGACCTCTGCCCTGCCCCAAGCCCACAGCCTCCCTCCCCTACTCCGAAATTAACCCTCGAGTGCCCAACACCCACTGGGGGGTGGCACCAACCCGAGGACATAATGATGATGATGACAATGATGATGAAGATGATGATGATGGTGAAGAAGATGATGATGATGA